TTGAATGACTTATATTTAAATGATTTTATAGCTCGTTGCCAATTTCACTTTGATGTATTTGACTTATTTTAGTATAAGCAATGAGAAAAATTAATAGTAAAAAAATTAGTAAATTAAAATCTAATCTTAAATCACGAACCGGTACGTGCATTATGAGTTTTGTGCTTTATCTATAAAATAAATTTGAATATACTGAAATTGAGTGATATCTAAAACATTATCAAGGCAGAAAAATGGATAAAACTGATCAATTAAGAACATCAATTCTTAAAATATAGATTAGAAGATCCTCTGGAACATGTATCTATTTTTCACTTCCGGTAGGGTAAGTTATAGTAATCGCAAAAAATAGAAAATGAAAATTTTTTTGTTATTTAACTTAAAAAAAAAATGGATGTATGTGTGGGTTGTGTGCGTGTGTGTATGTATGTGCGGATTACTGCGGATACAATTTTTCGTCGATCAACCAATTTGAATGATTTAAAAAATATTCAATTGCTATTAATAAGGAGAGACGTGCTAATTAGTTTTTGGCCAAGGCAGGTCTAGCCGTTTCTGAAATACGGGACAAAAAGTACCAAAATTGGTAATTCAATTTTTGAAAGAACAGGGTGTCCGATTTGAATGATTCAAAAAACATTTTATTTGCATTGGCGAAATGAAGAACTGGTGAATTTTTGGGAAGGCGGACATTTGGCGGACAAAAATGATCTTTAGACATATGCACATGAAATAATCACATATTTTATAGATATTTTAATAATAAGAACAAATTTTGTTTACTTTTCAATGGGTTTCGTATCAATGTTTATCCAGGTTATCTACGCAGCTAACGTTTCGCAATTGCTTTGAAAAAAAGTTCAAAAATTCTAAAATAATTTAAAGTATGAAAAAATCAAACTTTTCAAAAAGGTTAATTTCTTTCAAAAATTTAAAAAATCTCATATTACAGTAACTGAAGTAAAAAAATCTCTCCGGTCCTCAAATAATATATATCATAATTAATATGATATATGTATTAAAATCGTTTGAAAAACGATTTACATATCAAATTTAATTAAATTACAGATTTATAAACACGGTAGAATCCCGCTAAGGCAATCATTATCAATACAATTTTTCGTATTGAAACATTTTGTTGCTATCTTGCATAACACTCTTTCTCGCTTAAGACGCATTTTTTTGACTGGTTCCTGAAAAATCGTCCTAACGGGGTTTTACAGTTTATATCCAATTATATTTTAAATGATACAATTATCAATGATACAGTTAGTAAAGCCTCCATAGGTGGTCAAAATACTATAGAATAGTTATTTTGACATTTTCTTAACCGTTTAGAAACGGTTATTTTAACTATTATATTCCCAAAATACATTTTTCGAGTACTCTCCTGTTGACCACATATTTCATAGCCCAAGCCCACACGCAATGGTACAATACAATATTTGCACTGAGGGTCTTTGGGGAATCATGTGACATTTTTCCTCAAATTTCAGTAAATAATAACCACCACCACCTACCAGCAACAATTTTTTGTTTATTTTGGGAAGATAACGCGAGACGAATGCAGATGCTCACATTGCATTTTATTTGTTAGATCTGCCTATTGTGAGACCCGTAGCTTCGTTATTGTGTACTGACCCTGAATATTTTTGAATAGGAGGACTACTATTGTCCTGGCACACCTTCGGTGTCAAATTTATTTTGACAGGTAAATGTGCTTAGAATAATTGATATGTCACTACATTGTGTCTCATTTTTAGACCCGCATGGAGAACGCTGGGTAGGATAATGTGTTTTCTATGAAAACCTCAAATTTCGTAGAATATTATTAATGATCTCTACCAAAATTTATTTTTAACAACATAAATGTTTTGACTTAAATGAAAATGAAATTCAAACCCTTTTAATCTTAAATATAAATCGTTGTAGTTTGCATAAAATTTACATCTTATTGAATATTTTTTGTTGCTGTGGCTAGATAATTTTATTAATTATTTTATTTGAATGGTTTTTGAGATTTTTTTTTTAACTTTCCGTAGGTTAAGTTATTATAATCGCCCAAAATTCGAAATTGAAAATTTTTACATTTCTTCACGTTTTGAACGTTTCGATTTCTGAACATTTTGATATACCTCAGAAAAAATTGATGTGTGTGTGTTGTTTGTATGGATACAGTTTTTCGTTTACAATTTCGGGCGCACGGATCAATCGAATTGAATGGTTTAATAAACATTCGACTCCTATTAATAGGAAGGAGATGTGCTGATTAGTTTTTGGCAAAGGTAGGTCCAGCCGTTTCGGAGATACCTAGCTAAATGTGCAAAAAATGACAGTTTTTGAGAGAACAAGCATCTGATTTTAATGATTCAAAAAAAACTTTCTGCTTGTATTGACAAAACGTTACATTTTGGATTTTTTTTTAATTTAAAAAATTTTCTTTTGAATAATTCAAATTTTAATATTAATTCTAACTAAAGCTTTAAAGCTCACTTATATATTTCAAAGAAATAATTTTAACTTTGCAATTCAGTTTATATAATTCTTATAAATATTAGATTAAATTTCGTTTATTTATTTTTGCTGTAAACATATATAAGTTACAGTGTTTATAATAATCTATTTGAAAACATTTAATATTCCTCGAATATTTCATTAAAGTACGGAAGTTTCTGCGATTTGTCTTTAAGCACAATGCCATTTATAACTAGTTTAATTTCAATTACAATTGCCTAATAAATTATCAACTAATCTTAGATAATTTTGATGAAAGAAAATATGGCTTACAATATTCAAAATAATTTCTTCTAAATTTTTTCTTATTGTTAGATGTTCAAGGACTATTTAGTCAATATTTATGCTGTACTTTTTATTACCTATGCATTTGTTATGTGTTTCTGATCTTTATTTTGTTTCTACATCATTCATCTTAGTTTATTCACAAAAATGAAATGTATTTTTTTATCATAATTTAGTTTTTATTTAATTTCAGTCATGTTTAAATCAGTGGCTTCCAGCCTTTTTGTACCGCGTTTTTTGAAAAACAGTACTGCTCTTTCTTTAATTTTTCTAACAATACAATTTTATAAACAGTCAACTGATACAATTTATTTATCAGGCTACAAATTAATATAAAGTATTATGAAGAAATATAACTTAATATAATTTAAAAAATAATTATTCATTTATTCAGTTATTTAAAGTAGAAGTCCTTTAGTCCGGCTTGCTCGGAGCCGACCCCAGTGTCGGACTATCGAAAATTCCGTACTGCAGTAATTACAAAAACAATTAGGTTAATAATTAAACTACATAATCAGTAGAAAATACAAACAATAAAGCTTATTTTATATTTAATATTTTTAATTTTTACAAAAAAACAAAAATTTAATGATTTCTAGCCGTGGGGCTACGTAGTTCGTCGAACATACTTCGTTCATGAACCTAGACAAAACCATTAACACAACAAATTACAAGCCACTCCGAAAATGTTCTAATAGCTCTCGAGCCTTTTTATTTGCTCTAAAAGCACACTTTTGAAAAAAAAACGAAATTTTGGAAAAAAAATCGGATTATCGGGCATTCCGGACTAAAGGACTTTTACCGTATATTATTCCAACGTTTTTGGTTTAGTTTTTTGTAAATAATAGTTTGGAAACATCTGTACGCCCCCTTTGCAGCAACTTTGCGCCCCACAGTTTAGAAATCACGCTTTTAAATACTTAAACAGAAATATAAATCATCTATAATTGACAACATCGTTAATATTAAACATTAAAATATGTACAAAGTACAGCAGTATTTTATTTGCTTTTTATATATTGTATATTTAATTGCTACAGTTATTTTATCCATTGTATGAATCGTGATGAAAATGTGGTGCTTGTACATCATGAACCTGCCTTCGAACAAAGCTCCTAAAATTACAATAAAATATGATATTTATATTTATGTATATCATATTTTCATATACATTTGAATACATTTCTCTTATTTCTTATTACAACTCGGAATTAATAAAACCATTATTCATTTTATTGTGATGCGTTATGAATGAATTTGAATAAGTTATTTCACATGAAAAAATATCACGGGTTGAATGCAGAGTGCGTATGAGGCAGTTACATAAATCATTTCCAAGGCAAGTTATATAAATTATTTTCTTCCTATAGAAATGTTCTATTCGTTTTTATGCTACTACAGTTACGTTATCCTGCAACCGACATATGGTTATTCTAAAATATAAATCATCCCAGGAAATCCTCCAGATTTTTTACCAGTATTAAATTTTACCAGTATTTCAGTAATTTACTGAAATTACCATGATTTGCAAAGAAAATTGAATCATCTGCATTAATATTATAAGTATAAATAATGTTGAAACTTAATTTGTGCACTACTGAAGCTGCTTCATTTATTTAATAAAGAAAGTTAATATGTTTTGTTTGCAATTTTTTACATGAATTTGTGAACAAATATTAGTAGCTTTTATCATCTGTTTTCTTTATTCAAAATATATTTAATATTATACATATATTTATTGGGATAACTTCAAACAGCTTATTAGCTGGAAATTCTTATGATAATAAATCTACCAAAAAGTCTGGGATATATTAAAAAAATATTGCACTAAAAATTACCAAGTAAGATTGCATTAGGTTGATTGAATGTTATTTTCTCGGATAACTTTTCTGATAGAAATTTGTGAAGTTAGCGAATTTTGTAATTTTTATAAATGTTCAAATAGTATTGGATTAATAAAATTATGAATTCTAATATCTTCAAAAAAAAATATTAATCATTAATAGAGTTTAATGACTATATTATTATTGATAAACAGGTGCACAACTGATCCTTCATTAATTTAATTTTCAACACATTTTGGAACCTTAGATAAATTCTCAAATTAGAACGATTATTTCATTTCTAAAGCTATTGTAACTATTACCTTTATTTAATTATAACTAGTTTCCTTTATTTAATCGTTATTCCTTCTTTTTCAGGTGCGAAACCAGGCCTGGTGCCAAATTTGTTCTGCGCTCTTACGAGTTCCAGCAAAACTTTTCGTTCACTCTAGACCTGCACCACTATCGAGATGAATGGTGCAGCACGCCCATGTTTTCGGCCAGAGCAATGGGTGCCATCACCGACGATTCTTTTATCATCTTCGAAGTCAAAACCATTCCTCATAATGCTTTAGTTGCTAGAGAAGTCCAGGAAAAGGTCAACAAGGCTTGTCCAGGTTGGTTTAAATACAATATCCAAGTTTTTGTTAAATTAAATGCTATAATAAATATTTGACGATGATGAAATGCCTTTAATACATGATCCACATTTTGTTTTAGATTGCCAAGATTTATTAGATTGTTCTTAGCTTGTGCGATATGTTAAATGAATGTTGTGGCATCTAAAACATGTTAATTCAGTTTTTGTTATTTGTAATTACAATTTTATATTTTCAACAGGATTTTCGTCACGACACTGGCGAGCTAACCGTGAATATATTCTGCAAGGAGGCAAACATCGTTCTCAGAACACAAATTACCATACGTCGAAGAGGTCGAGGTCCAACTACTTCGATTGTGCTCATGCATTGAATTTACAATTTGGTGAATTTTCAAAAATTCGCATACAAAAAATCGAGAACAAGTTAGAACTTCTATTAGCTGATATCCCACAAAGTGGTTCCACCACCAAACCCAAAGGTTACCAACTGCCTTTAGTGAAGATCTACGATGGTAAGGTATCGACCAGTGAAGTCATTAAAAGTTCATCATTGACTGCTGACAATATTTTGCTGGATCTTTTTGAACCTGCTCTGATTACACCGGATCCTGCTGGTTATGGACAAGATGCTTTTGTGCATATCATGAGGTCTAAGAAAAGAAATACTTCGGTGTATCCAAGTATGGATAATAAAAAGTTGTTTAAAAATTGTGCAATTTGTGAGATTATCAGCCGTTCTTCAATAGCTTCACCTCCTTATTTACCGACCAGGCCAAAGTTGCCAGTGTATTTGACTGGACACTGGACATCCAGGCGTTGTGAAAGTCATCCAAACGGTGGATACACTATTAGGCAATTTGAATTCAGAGAACAAAATCGTAAGTTTCATGCAAAATTACGTTACTTTGAAGATCATAGATGCGAAAATGCTTTATACACCCTGCAATTGCGTGGAGAATATTATTTAGGCATGTACAATTCTTTATTAAGAGGAAGTACTGACGTAGACTTTTATACTCATAAAACTATCATCACTATACATGACGAAGGTTTATTAGAAGGCGTCAACAATCAACTTCGAGGTATTCTAGATAGGCGCCCAAAAATCCAAGAATTTCGTCAACAATTTTACGCATTCCAGTCGATTTTTGCTCGCAATGTCAAGTATTGCGATGAAGAATTGTATGAATTGGACGTGCCCATAGTTCACGCACGAACGAATTGCAAAATCTACGGATTAGAAAATTCATTTTTTGCCAAAAATGTGCTGAAATTAGAAGTAGATATGTATGGAACCACGCTTTTGTCTATGGGCAAGTTGGGGGTTACTTTTGCAAACGATATCATACACGAAGTGGAACAATTTAGGCACCCAAGTTTTAGCAGTTATAGCAATGTGATTGATAGGGCTTCTTCTTATGGAATGCCTTTAGAACATTGTGAAAATGTTGAAGCTAACTTGGAGCAACAATTTCTTGGCATCAGCTCAGGAAGCAACCTGAGGCTGAATGCTGTTTTAATTCTGCTTTGTGCTGTGATATTTTTAAATTAATTTATTAAATCTCGAAAAAAATATATAATAAACATATATTATTTGTAAATATTTATAAACGTGCCATATATTAGTAATAGTTTCTAATATTTGTAGAATGTAGATAGGATTTGAGGACCAATTTGGAAATGAATGGTTTACCAAAAGAGACTATAAGTATAGTATATCAATGAAATTCAAATTAATAGTTGGTTAGTGCTGAAAAATTTTGCACTAACATTGCAAAAAATTTATATAAATTAATTTACGAGCAAATACTAATTTATGCATTAGTTAAAAAAAATTAAAAATGCCTTACAAAATTACCAATGCTTTCAACAAAAATATAGATACAACCATAGATAAGGATACTACTATATAATAATAAAATTAATCCACAATTAAGAAATTATCCTTTAACTATTATATTATAATAATTAAAGCATTATTTCTTAATTGGATTTCATAAGTTTTAGAAACTTAAACCGGATAATTAATTTTTTAATGAGAAATAATTGTCAATTAGACTAACAATGTATATATTTTTATGGAGGGACAAAAGTCAACTGTAATAAGACTGATTAGATGAAAATACGTTTCTTTATTAAATGTGTGTTTAATTATCAAGTAATGATTTTAATTAATAACTGTACATACAAATAATATATAATATAATTAGTTATAATTAATTGAAAGCTACTAATTGCTTTCAGAAGCGACGGACATTGCCCAGTGTTATTAGATTGTATACATTTCAAGTTAAAAATAAATGTTTTGTATGCAATTTATATCTTGCTATATGTAAATTCCATAAATATTACACATTTAATAATTAAATATTTATGGGATGTTTGGCATTAAATATTTGTTAGAAATTTTATTCATTAAATTTAATATTCAAACAATGTGATATATTTATAAACAAATTATTAAATAACATTTATAGAAATTAAGTTTTGAATTGATATATGAATGATATTCTATGTATAGTATAAGTAGATTTTCTATTAAATGTTCTTATGAGCATTTTCTCTAGATTTTATAGTGCTTTCTTGTGTAAATAGTTTTCATATAAAATTATAAACTTTTTGTATTAAAACATGGTTTTATTTTGATGGATATTTTTTCACTTTTGTAGGTTTCTTAACAGAGCATAATACGAATAAGCAGAGTTGATCATCTGGAAATAAATGAGACTTTAATTAGCTCAATTTTTTTTTATAATATAATTACTTTTGCTATTATTTTATTAACTGTAATTTTTTTTAAACATATTTTGTGACATTTTTATTTTCACTACATGGGTCATTACGAATTAAATGAAATTGAAGATATTAAGAACTTTTTATGATGATTAATTTCCCGTAGGGTAAGTTATAGTAATCGCAAAAAAATCGAAAATGAAAATTTTCGATTTTCAAAGGTTTTTTAACATTTTAGCAAACCTTAGAAAAAATGGATGCATGCGTGTGTGTGTGCGGATACAAATTTTCGTCGACGATTTCGGGAACACCAATCAACCGATTTGAATGATTCAAAAAACATTCGATTCGAATTGATAAGGAAACGTGCTGATTAGTTTTTGGCGAGGAAAGGTCTAGCCGTTCGAAGATACGGAGCAAAAAGTGACAAAAACAGTAACTCAGTTTTCAAAATATTTTACTTGTATTGACAAGATGAAGAACTGATTAAATTTTTGGGAAGGCAGGTGCAGCGGTTAAGGACTCTCATTTAATATAAGTTAAAAAAATGTCATTTGGCGGTCAAAAATGTTTATTTTTACAGAGATTTTAATAATGTGTACATATTTTGTGTAAATTTTTCTGGGTTTCGTACCAAGATTTTTAATTACGGTACGGAAAGTTCCAGCAATTTGCCTTAAGGCACGATGCCTTGCACCCCACTAGTTATATAGTTTTGAATGGAAATTTAAATTCATTCTATGACATTAAATAATTCAATATGTTCGTGGCTCAAGTTGTTAGAGCAGTGGTTTCAAATCCAAAACAGTTTTCGAGGCGCGCCACACAGATTGGAAACCGCGGTGCTAGAGCTTTCACTTTGTTCTAATCTCGCCTTGAACAACCTGATACTAGGTAGTAGTGATATTTGAGTTTTTACGAAATTTTAGATCTGATTATAATTTAAATCTAAGATGTCTGCATATTTATTAATTTTTAATTTAAATCAAGATTGAACAACCATTGGGTTGCCTTCTGAAAAAACTAGGCTTGCTGTTCAGAATTTTTTTTACCGAAGTACAGGTCCGCATATCCAGAGATACTAAGCCAGATGCTCGAACTTGAATGCATCGTTTTCCATTTTCCATAAAAATATTTGAAATAGTCATTTTACTTCGGGGTTTATTTGCTATCATTTTTGCATCAGAAAATAGACAAGAACTCCATTCGCTTTCATAAAGAGCGTAATTCAACTGCGTACTCTAAAAAATATTAACATTATATTATTCATAAAATTAACAGTCATTAACATGTTTTTTCATACCATGTCCTTAATTTTGCTTCCATACCAGCAAGGTAAAAATAATTGACCGACAATCATTAAGAGGTACACGAAATCGATGATAAATTGAACTCTTTCTTTTTGAATAGATAACTGGAATTATATAAAAATGATACATAAAGGATACATTTGTTACAATAATATTTATAACTATAAATATAATTTAAATAGTGAATTGAATAATTTTATTTTTAAATAATTTTTTTTATGAAAAATGCAATTGTTTTTTCTCATGTCTTAACAGCGATCATAACCTCATGTTCTATGAGCTGTTGGAACTTCTTATTACTTCGTATTTTTAGATGGTAACCCATTGGTTAATCCATCCATATTTGATGATTTATCCTTAGAATTTATCTAATAGGACTCTTTATTGGTTTCGAACCCGGGACCTCTAAATCAAGTCCCGTCGCTCTCAACCGCTTATCTACTGTTGCCCAAAAATGCATTCTAAAAGAATTTTCATAAATTGTTATCAAAATTTACGTAACCGATAACTTCGTTTACTCCGAGGTCCTACAAAATGAATATGCACTTATGATTAATTACCTTAGGTGAAGTACACGTGAAGTGTTATTTTGTGTAATAAATCTTTGCAATCAATAGAAATAAAAACAAATTACAAACCTACAAGTTATTTATGTACAAATAATAACATTATGTAAGTAGATATTAAAACTTATTCGAAGTGTGAAATGTTTACTTTCATTTTTGGACGTAGAAAGTAGAGATTAAAAGAATCTTCTTGGTGCTTGAAGAAATGCCCAGAATCAATGTCCATGATGTTAACTAAATATTTGTTATGATTCTTTAACCTAAGCAAACTATTTAAACTACAGTGCAATTTTAAATGGTTCTTTATAAAAAATCATTTTCGTGTCATTTTTGTGAGCAGAGAAGATTATTTGAACAAAAAAAATAAAAAGTTAACAGAGCCTCACATGTGATAGATGGTAGCCTGTGAGACATAATAAAGCGCCTCCAACTAAGATGTGGAAAAACATTGAAGATCCATACATTTGTTGTAAGTTGTTAGTTAACCTAATAATAGATAACATTTTTAGTTTTTAGTATTAATTTAATACGTGACTGTTTTTAAATAGAATGTTCAATGAAATGAGATATGTATGCAGTGGTATTTGATATTTAAATGCAAAGTTTATGCAATTTAGTTTAGATTTTCTGCCGCCCTATCTGATATGGCGCTCTTTTTAGTAGACAAGATTTAACTTTTTCATGTAAACAACAATTTATATATTGCAATTAAAACTATTTTTGTAACTACTTGCAATTAGATATAATTTTTGACTTCCTGAAGAATAAGGATATAGTAATCGCAAAAGAATTAAAAATATTTTTTGCATAAATTTACGTTTCAAGGTTCATTTTGGCATACACGGTTTTTTGCGATTATCAAATTAAAAGAGTGGATTTTTTTTCAGGATTTTTTAAAACATATTTTACTCAATTTAAATAAGATATCAATCAATAAATTTTACTCAAGTTGAATACGATATCAAATTGAAACCATGGACTAACTATTCACGTTTTTTTAAACATATTTATCAACATTTTGGCATACTTTAGATTTTTCTAAGGTAAGTTTTTTTATCGGTTCTATCTTCCATTAATTAGTACTTTCAAAATCGTCAACAAAAGAAAATTTGCACATACATATATACACACGCATACATCGGATACAATTTTTTGTCGACAATTTTGAGAGCACGAATCAACCGATTTGAATGATTCAAAAAACATTTGATCCCCATTGATAAGGAGACGTTCTGATTGGTTTTTGGCAAAGACAGTTCCCGCCTTTTTGGTGATAAGGAGGAAAAAGTGGCAAAATGGCAATTCAATTTTTGAGAGAATTAAAAGTTCGATTTCCGAATATTTCAAAAAACATTTTAGAATTGACTAATTTTGGAAAGGCAGGTTCAACGGTATCAGAGATCCAGAAAAAAAGTTAATTAGATGTGCATGGTATTGTGCCTAGAGACAAATTGCTGAAATTTTTCCTTGAAATATTTTGGCATATTTAAAATAATAATAATAATTTTAGCAACTTTTGAGGTTTTTTGAAATTTTCTGAATTTTCATATACGTATAATTTTTTCTACATACCGTCAACCCAAACAAATTATTTTTTGAATCATTCTTATTGGGTTCTCCGTTCTCTCAAAAATTATATGACAATTTTTTGCACACATTGTCTTCCTTATTTCCAGAATGACTAAACCTGCCCTTCGCAAAAATGAAAAATAGGAATTTTAATTTTTAAAGTTTACTTATATGGTTTAAACAAGTGCTCTCTACGTGGATTAAACGACTTGAATGCTTCAGAAAACATTCGCTTCGTACTAATCGCGAGAAGAACTGGTAAATTTTTGCGACAGGCCTGTCTAGCCGTTTTAACCCTTTCGACTCGGATTCCGCTGCTCCCGCGGCAAAATTCATATAAATCTAGAATTCGCGAGTGGAAAGGGTTAAAGGTT